CACGCCCGTTGAGTTCAACGAGGCGCCCTCCCCCTCTCCTCCCCCTCTTCTCCCCCTCTTCTCCCCCTCTTCTCCCCCCATGCCTCCTGCCTCCTTGTGCATACATATCGGCAGTGACGGCGGATACCTCCTCTGTCCTCCTCCTGTGTATGCAGATCGGCAGTGACGGAGGGCATCTCGCTCGCCTGCTGCGCATCTCAGAAGTGCTGGTGGCACCGGGGGAGCGCCTCGACATGCCCGTGGGTTTCAACGAGGCGCCTCTCTCCTCCCTGCCTCCCCCTTCACCCCACCCTCTCCCCCCTCCTTTCTTCCCCCGGCATGGATGCAGATCGGCAGCGATGGTGGCTACCTCGCTCGCCCCCTGCGCATGCAGGAAGTGCTGGTGGCGCCAGGGGAGCGCCTTGACGTGCTTGTGGATTTCAACGAGGCGCCCTCCCTCCCCTTCCCCTCCCCTCCCCAACTCCCTGCCTCCTGCCCCCCTGTGTGTGCAGATCGGCTCTGACGGAGGTTATCTCGCTCGCCCGCTGCGCATGCCCTTCGTGCTCGTAGCACCGGGGGAGCGCCTCGATATGCTGGTGGATTTCAACGAGGCGCCCTCCTGGTGCCGCGACGTGCTGCTGACTAACCGGCGCTGTTGTTACCGCTCTCCTCCCTCTGCCCCCCTCTTTTGTGCAGATTGGCAGTGCTCGCCCGCTGCGCATGCCCAGCGTGCTGGTGGCGCCGGGGGAGCGTCTCGATATGCTGGTGGATTTCAACGAGGCTCCCTCCTGGTGCCGTGACGTGCTGCTCACAAACGATGCCCGCGCGCCCTACCCTGCTGGTGAGTGCTGCGAAGTGCTACTGACAGCCTCTGTCTCTGTGTGTGATCTGGCAAGCTTGCTCACAGCACCCTCTGGCTTCAAACGAGGAGCCCTCCTGGTGCCGTGACGTGCTGCTCACAAACGATGCCCGCGCGCCCTACCCTGCTGGTGAGTGCTGCGAAGTGCTACTGACAGCCTCTGTCTCTGTGTGTGATCTGGCAAGCTTGCTCACAGCACCCTCTGGCTTCAAACGAGGAGCCCTCCTGGTGCCGTGACGTGCTGCTCACAAACGATGCCCGCGCGCCCTACCCTGCTGGTGAGTGCTGCGAAGTTGTGCCTTACCTTCCCATGTGCCAGTCTTGTGGATTTCAACGAGGAGCCCTCCTGGTGCCGCGACGTGCTTCCAGCAAACGATGCTCGCGTGCCCTACCCTGCTGGTGAGTAGGTTCAGGCACCCTCTGTGTGTGTGGTCTGGCAAGCTTGCTCACAACAGCCTGTTGGTTTCAACGAGCCTCCTCCTGGTGCCGCGAGAGAGGTGACACACTCTTCCTGAGACGCTGATGAGCTTACTTGGACTGCGTGCTTTTTTAGAAAACTCTAAAAAAAACACACTCTTCCTGAGACGCTGATGAGCTTACTTGGTCTTCCGTCCATTGCTCACTGCAACAGATCCTTGTTGTTAGACATCCAGCGAGCAACAGACATATTCCACTGTTTCTCTTTAACTGTTGCTCGCTGGATGTCTAACGACTTGCTTGACCTTCCAGCAGTCGTTCACTCTCCAACCCCTTCTTTTCCCCCTTCTTTCAGGCGAGCGAGTGAGACCCGACACTGCAGTCATCATGCGATTCATTCTCACCAGGCGCAAGGCCATCCCGGCCCCGCCCCTCCCCAAGATGATCGCTGTGAGTGCACTGTGCAGGGCAGGAGAAGGGAGGAGGAGAGGGTGGGGGACGCCAGGGGAGCGGAAGGGATGGGAGGGGATGGGAGGGGAGGGGAGGGGATGGAGGGGCATGGAAGGGCAGAGGGGGCGATCCATCCTTACAAAGAATAAGTCGATTCATTCACAAACAAGAGCAGAGGAAGTGACATTCCTACGGTCAATCCAATCTCTCTTACTAATCTCTACTCCCCTGCCCACCCTTCTACTCCTCCCCTCCTGGCCCTTTAACCAGGTCTCAAAATCGCGCTGGCACGTGCTAGGGGAGAGAGTGGACCAGGAGAGTGACATGCCCATCACCCTCCTCTCTCCACCCGGCTCACCTCTATCCCCCTCTACTCCCCTCTACTCCCCTCTACTCCCCCGTACCCTCCGCTACTCCTCTCCACCCCTTATCCCTCAGCCGCTAGCCGGTCTGCCCTTCAACCAGGTCTCGAGATCGCGCTGGCATGTGCTGGGGGAGAGGGTCGACGTGGACACAGACATGCCCACCGTCATTCAGCTCAACGGGCGGGGCTTCTTTCAGCCTGCCACTGAGATTCTCAAGAATGTGAGTGGCGCGCGCAGGGGTGGTGGGGTGAGAGGGGGAGAGAAGGGGAGAGAGGGAAGGCCTAGTCCCGGACAGTGACATGGCCACCACCATCCAGCTCAACAGGGGAGGGGGGGGAAGGGACGGGGGGTATTTTCAAGCATGTGAGTGACGAAGGGGTTGTGGGGTGAGGGGGGGGGACAGAAGAGGAGAGAGGGCAGTAGACCCGCACAGTGACATGGCCACCACCATCCAGCTCAACAGGGGAGGGGGGGAGAAGGGAGAGGGGGTATTTTCAGACGGTAGTAGACCCGCTCAGTGACTTTTGAGGCGCCTCAAGAGACGCCTCAAGAGGCGCCTCAAAAGACCCGCACAGTGACATGGCCACCACCATCCAGCCAATGGTCGGGGGTATATGCAGCCTGCAACTGAGACTCTCAAGCATGTGAGCGACGCAAGTCTTGAACCTAACCCTACCTGTGTGATTCTTTCTCCTGACCCTTGACCTAAATGCTCTGTCCATTCCCTTACCTCCCACCATCCTTAGTCAAAGGAGATATGGCACATCATCAACCCATCAGCCGACACACCCCATCCACCTGCACCTGCTGCAGCACCGCCCCTTCATACCACCCTGCCGTAACAGTCCTGACCCCCGCACCCTCCCTTCTTCGCCCCCATCTGTGTGTATGCAAGCAGGGCGCGGTGGAGATATGGCACATCATCAACCCATCAGCCGACACACACCCCATCCACCTGCACCTAACCAGAACACCCCCCCTTCATATCCCTTCCCCAAACCTGCCTTCCTTTCCCTCTCTATCCTGTGTGCATGCAAGCAGGGCGCGGTGGAGATATGGCACATCATCAACCCATCAGCCGACACACACCCCATTCACCTGCACCTGCTGCAGCACCGCCCGTTCGCCCGGCGCCCTTTCAACTCCCAGGCCTTCCTCTCAGACGACTGTGCCTTCTACCCCTACCCGGGCTACCCCTCCTCCCTCTCCGCCTCCGCCTCCTCACTCCCCTCCTCCTCCTCTCCTGCTGGCAGCATCACCAGGAGCAGCATCATTGGCACCAGCAGCAGCACCAGCAGCATGAGCAGTGGTGGTGCCAGCAGCGGCATTATCAGCAGTGACGGCGGCACGAGGAGCAGTGGGGAGGACAAGCTGCCGTCGTGCTTCACGGGGCGGTCGAGGAGGGTGGATCTGAACGAGCAGGGGTGGAAGGACACTACCAAGTCGCACCCGGGGGAGGTGCTATCTATCCTCGTGGCCGTGCGCTCTCAGGTGCGTTTTGGCTAGTGAATGGTGCGTATTTCGTAGGCGCACGAGGGGGGTGAGGGGGGTGGATTTGAACGGGGGAGGTGCTGCCTATCCTCGTGGCCGTGCGCTCCCAGGTGCGTATATGCAAGAGTGCAGGTACCATCACCACCCCCTCTCCCCTCTCTATCCTGCATATTCTCGCTCCATTACCTCCATCCCCCTTGCCCTTTCCCCCACTCCCCCCCTGCCTGCCATCACCCTTTCCTTCATGCCAAGACGACACGGCCTTCCCATTTGACCCGTCACAAGGCCCTGGGGGACGTGTGGCACTGCCACAACCTAGACCAGTTTCCCGAGGCGTCTAAAGAATATGTCACTTTCCCTTCTCCCTCCCATTTGGCAGGACGGGAAGCCGTTTTCATTTAACCCGTCACAGGGCCCGGGGTACGTGTGGCACTGCCACATCCTGGAGCATGAGGACAACGACATGATGTCCCTCTGGCCCCTCCTTTCCCCTTCCCCCTCCCCTCCCCTCACCCCCCCAAGACGTGAACCCGTCACAGAGCCCCGCACTGCCACATCCTATTGCAGTTACCTGAGGTGTTTAAGGAATATGTCCCTCCTCTCCTCCTTCCCCTTCCCGTGTGGCAGGATGGGAAGCCTTTTCCATTCGACCCATCGCAGGGCCCTGGGTATGTGTGGCACTGCCACATCCTCAAACACCTCCTTGTGTGGTTGAAGAACCCCCTAACACCCAACCCCCAACCCCCTTCCTTCCCTTTCTCCAGGACGGCAAGCCGTTCTCATTCGACCCGTCACAAGGCCCGGGGTACGTGTGGCACTGCCACATCCTGGAGCACGAGGACAATGACATGATGCGCCCACTGCTCGTGCGCAAGTGACGTGGCGCCAGCTGTGGCGGCGCCAGCTGTCGCGCTCTTGAGAGATAGCTGTCTTCTAGTGTGCAAATGAGGTGGCATCAGCTGTCTTAGTGCGCAAATGAGGGGGCACCAGCTGTCTTGTGCATGAGAGGGCACCATGCTTGGGATTGCTAATTGTCTATGTTGTTCTTCATGTGGTTGCCAACTTGGCAACCAGACGGGGCAGTATTACGATTTCGGTAAGGGTTCGAGGACGGGTGCTTATTTTTTATAGTATACATGACTCAGACATTAGAGGCAATAAATTCGATTTACTGGGTTTCCTTAAGACAGAATAAAACAATAAGAGATTCTGGATACGTTACAAAGCATGAAAGTTCACTGTAGAGCAAATTGGAACGCAGTGATCTCGCTTATTGTACTGTCACAAGCTTTCAATTTTTCCCGCACAACACGAGTTTATCAGGATGCAAATTCCTGCCTTCAAGCCGCCACTTCTCATCCTCCCTCCCCAAACGCGATGCAGTGTAATCCACCTGTGCTCGCGCTCCCTGTGCAGCGCATTATCAGAGTTGCTCGGAACTAGTATGGGCGGTCACCCTCGATATTGCCGGGCGGGAAATAACGGCACGCCCAAACGGCTCCTCCTTCATTGCACATCGCCGTTCCACACCCGACGCGCTCCGTCTTCTTCCACACCACCTGCGTGTAGTGCGTGCAATCCCTGCCCTCCGCGCAACCTTCTGGGAACGCCTCCAGGCGGTAGTGCGCCTTTTCGCGCACCCACTCCGCCACCGCCGATTCTGCCTCCGCGGGAACCCCCCAGCTTTCCGCCGCCCAGCGCAGATTGATCCCGCCGCTGACTTCCTTCATCCGCCGCACCGCGCATCCCTCCTTTTGCGCAAGATACTCCGCCAGTCGCTCCGCCTGCGCCTGGAGATCCGCGTCCCACACGAGCGCGGGAGAGCCCACTTCCGCGCGCGCGCGGTTCTGCGGATCGAGGTAATGCGCGTGGTCGCGATCGTCGTTCCGGATTTCGGGAAACCTCGCATAGAGAATGCGAGCTGTCGCATGCGGCGACGAAGATCCGACGGACGATGTGACTGTAACGGAGCCTGGCTGGGGCGAGTCGAGCTTCGCCGCGTCCGAGAGGAGCCGCCTGTTGGACGCAACCCGCGCGACCGTGTCGGCTGGAAGGTTCTCCGAAAGAGCAGATTCCGTAGTGGCGACAACTTTGGGCACAGCCGTGGCCGTTGCGTGAAGAAGAACGGCGAGAAGAACGGTAATGGCGAGAGGCCGACGAAGGGAGAGGGCGAAGAAGAATTTTCGAGGTGCTTGCGAGGTGATCTTGACTTCAGCCATGGGGCTTGATATATGGGTCAAACTGAGAGGGTGAGGAGGGAGAGGGCGGAAATGGCGGCGGCTTGGTTACCAGCAGAAGTGGCGACGACGGAGTGGATGCTGATTGCTTGGGAAACTCAAGCTGATGAATGCGGGTGGTTTTGAGAGAGTGAACACGATCCGTGACGCGGTAAAGGGGAGCTTGACGGAACTAAGGTTGCTGTCAGGTGCGTGGAGAGCGCGAGTTAGTGTGACGACGGAAGTGAATGACGGGAGGTTTGACTACGAGCCTGCGAAGACGAATTGTGTAGCGCCTAACCTCTAAACGTCGAGAGAAAGCTTGCAAAGGAAATAAAAAGGATTGGTGCATATGGGACGCAGTGCCCCCGGCTTGCACTGCCTGCTTGCTTTCTAGCAATAACGTCGCTGATGGTAGTTAGGGGGCAGCGTGCACTCACGCAACCAGACGACGAGAACGCGAGGCGGGATGGCGTGCAGTGCGGTGCGGAGTAAAAGAGAAGGGAACGCGTTCAGATTTGGGTCCAACCAATCTCGAGATTGACGCGAAGGAACGGGACAGATGGGTAGCGATTGGCTGAATGGGTTGGAGGGAGTCAAAGGCGCGCGAGAAAAGGAGCTGGTTGGTGAATCAGCAGAACTCCAATAATTGCAGCCGAAACGCGGACATCGGCGGAGAGGAATTTTGGCACGTGAACTGAAGAACTGTTTTCGATAACTAGCTTGCAATATAAGGAGTTTTACATTGTAGAAGAGATTTCTAGATTCTCCACACATATATGTAGGATTCTAGGTTCCAGAGCAGAACCCAAATACCTGGAGGGCCTCTATTCCGCCCATGGACTAAAACGGCAAATTCTGCCGTATCATTCCTCGGCCAGGGTAATGTGACTAAATGGACACATTGACTCTTTTAGGGCCATATACCATTCTATCAGCCCAACCTCATGCTCAAATAACAGCGTTGGACTGACCTACTATGGCGTTGATCATACCATGACTAACCCATCGGTCAATAATACTCTCAGCTGCACTCATTGTCGCCCTCCCCCATTCCCCCCCTGCCCTGCACCCCCTCCGTTCGCCTCCCCCCCTGCCCCAAACACGAACCCCTCTGGGGGATTCCCCCCTGTGCCAGACCCCATCCCTGGGAAGGCGAATGGCAAGCCGCCAGCTGGCATGCCAGGGATAGGCGGGAAAGAGGGAGGGGTCAAAGAAGGCATGGCGGGGGCTAGAGGGGGCATGCCTGCAAACGGAGCAGCACCAGCAGCAGCAGGATTGGCGTCAGGGCCTAAGGGAAAGGGCGGCATGGGGAATGGGAAGTTGGGGAGCGGTGGGAAGGAGGAGGGGGAGGCGGTGGTGTTGGCGGGGAACTGGCCAGGAGCAGAGAGCGGAGTGATGTGGCCTGACGGTGCCCCTGGTTGCGGAATCTGCTGCTCCTGCTGCTGCTGTTGCTGCTGCTGCTGTTGCTGCTGCTGCTGTTGCTGCTGCTGCTGTTGCTGCTGCTGCTGTTGCTGGTGCTGCTGGTGCTGGTCGGAGGAATTGAGAGCAGCGTCGCCTCCAAAAAGGCGGGCTTCAAAGGCCTGCAGCTGGCTCAGCATGGCTGGTGGTGGGGGGCGACATGAGAGAAAGGGGGAGGTGGGAGGAATTGAGTCGTTGATGAGAATTCTCAAAGGTGACTCGGAAACAGCCACCATCACCTCTGATTAAGCGGGCTTCAAAGGCCTGCAGTAGGCCGAGCATGGCTGGCAGGGTGAGGCAGGGTGAACCGTGAACCTTGAAGTCTAGCGCCCGAGCCTCAAAATAAGGTTACTTAAGAGTCCACTCAAAAGTGAGTCGACTCAGAAGGCTAGCGCCCGAGCCTCAAAATATGGTGCAGCAGCTACCGCTCTACATGCATGTATGCATACCCGGCTGTATGTTGACTGACGGTCGTCTCTCCGTCACCCATGCGACTGCCTCCGCCAGTTTGACCCCCTTGGCGCGCATCAAGTACCCCACCACCACTGCTGGCGACCTGCAGCAAAGGGGTGTGGGAGTGGGTGGGGGAACAGGGAGAAAAGGGGATTGACTTTGGGTTGTTCACACATGCATCAATTTGACCCCCTTGGCGCGCATCAGGTTCCCCACCACCATTGCCGGCGACCTGCAGTAAGGGGAGATGGAGATGAAAGGGGAAAAGGTGGGTGGGTGAGGGAGTGACAGGGTGCGTGCTTCACAGCATGCATCAACTCAACCCCCTTAGCCCGCATCAAGTACCCCACCACCACTGCTGGCGACTTGCAGCCAGCGGGGTGGGAGTGGGAGCGAGAGGGGGAAGGTGGAGAGGGAGAGGAGACGGGAGGAAGGAGGAGTGACGGGGTGTGCTCTTACAGCATGCATCAACTTTGTCGCCTTGGAATGCAGCACGCCCTTAAGAAGCTATCAGGCCCACACAAGATAGTTCTTTCAATCCAACCATCCCTTCTTTGTCTCAAGCAACTTAATATTTGTCCCGTGACCAAGTTGCTTGAGACAAATACCAAGTCGTTTGGTCACGCGTGCTCTGACCTGACATGCATTGCACCAAACACCTTAGCCCGCTCCAGCTCACATTGCTCTGTCCGTTGGCAGGGTAGTTCTCAGTGCAGACCCTGATGGACCTAACTAATGAGGCTAAGGGAACCTGGGGTTTCACCTGCTTTGGCCCGACATGCAGTGTACCAGCACCTTCGCCTGCTCCCTCTCGCATTGCTCTGTGGCCGAGGTGGTGGTGGGGTTGGGGGGGACGTGGAGGTTGATGTGGAGGGGATGTAAAACGGGAGTTGGGGTTGGAAAATTAAACAGAGGAGTGAGACCGTTGGGTGATGGGATAGAGCGGGAGAAAGGCCTTAAGGCGAGGAAGGGGCGCGGGGATGATGAAGAAGGAGACTGAAGGGTGAATAAAGGGGGAGGAGAAGAGTATAGGTGTGTGGGCATGGCCTGAATGGTGTGGTGAAGATGCGAAGGGGGACATGAGGTCATGGTGGCATGGCACAGCATGCCAATGGATGGAATGGCATGGCATGGGATGACATAGCAGGAAATGGCAGAATACCAATAAATTGGTTGCATTCCTCAAAGGGAATGACCTTGCTGTCTTGCACTGTGTGATAAACGAAGGAGTTCTTATAGAGGTTCTGACACGTGGGAACCGTCTGCAGGGAGTGGCATGAGCACACAACCATGGCACAGGACAGGAAGGAGGGGAAGAGAGGTGGAAAACAAGAAAAGGAGTGACCGAACAATAATGGAACCGACACGTATGTTGGCGATTCAAAGGTTAACACTTGGCGGAACGATACTAGAGGCAGTACAGAGGACAAGTGCAATGACAGTGCAAGCTCATTTTTCTTCTCCCCATCTCCACCTCCCCTTCCCCATTCATTCAGAAGGAACGGCATGCCTTCACACAGCTAAACTCGCACCCATTTATCTCTCGCTTATACCCTTCCGCACACTCGCATCGCACCCCTGTGGCTCCAATGACTCACGTTTAGGATCCGAGTGATCCCTTGCGCCTTAAGCAGCTCCGATCGCGACGCGTTGTCGTAGCTCCCGCAGAACAGGAACCCCGGAATAATCTCCGACGAGAACGCGCTGTGCGCCTGCGCCGCGGCGGCGCTGCTGCGCTCGTCCGCGGGGATCAATCGGTGCCCGCACACCCCGCACGGCTCCCCCTCCTCGTACTTATGGTAGTGCCCACAGATGTAACATGGATTCTCGCGCTCCCGCTTCCGCATCGTCGTTTCGCCGGTGCCGGTAACCCGGAGTGGTTAATCCGACCCTGTGCTGGTAACCCGGAGAGGTTGCCCCAAACCTGTGCTGCGACGGGAATCTGTTCGCGAAGGGCCTGAACGAACAGCGCATGTAACGATCGGCGAATGCAGTCAACCTTGTTGTCGCTGTCCTCTGACTCTCTCGAAGAACGAGGTTAGCAAAATTGCACGCGAAATAACTAGGCAGAAAAAGCCGATAGCGACGGGCCTTGGCTTATCGCGAAAGCACGGATCGCATTGTGAAATATGTCGAAAGGTCTGATGAAACTACCAAGACGAACGCACCGTCGTGCTGAGGCGACGACGCACTATCGCAGAACCTACCCAAAATGGTGATGATAACGGGTCGAACGACCCACAAATAACTAAGCGGGGTTCACCCGAAACCAGGGCTACGTTGGCACCGAAGTGAGCAAGAAATTCTCTGAAAGGTTAGGATCGCATTATCGCGCTGAATTATAATCTTCACACTTTGGTATTCGACGTCGTGTCGACCTCCTACACACTACTAAGCGGGCGACGTAAGGTAGGGCTCTAACCAGCTGGTCTAGCCATAGAAGTGGGCTCTAGCCCGCGGTTCGAAAATCCAAGGTCACCTTCCCCCCCACGGCAGGGCAAAAGATATTCTCCTGCGACATGTTACCCGCGATTCCAATAATGTCGCACGCTTTCGCGACAACGGCTACGTCAGGGCGGGTCCGAAGAGTATGTCCGAATGAGGTTGAAAAAGGTTTGGACCTGATTTAGAGCGGTTTAATTTTAAATCCTGATGATTGGGTATGGTCTGCGACTCCGTACATTGTTCGACCCGCCCTCAGTGTTCAAATCAAACTACTACACCTTCAATATATGTTTAGCTAATGTGAAATCTAAGGTAATTCACCAGATTCATTCGTGGATACGACCCCTACATGAAAATCAGGCTACTCAATCAGCCTCTGTAAAGAAAACAGGCAGGTTTGTCCGACCTTTCTGACATAAATGTACACACCACGTCAATTACACAACAATGAGCCAGGAACTCGAATGTCATTCTAGTATACCCTATGAGCCAGGAGGAACTCTGTCTCATCTATTGTATAAGAATGAAGAGTGGACACTCATGAACAGAGGGTAACACTATCGTACAGGGAGCCCATGCAATGCCACATGCAGTGCTGAGTTCTGATTTTGCTAAGCTGTCGGCACCTTAATGGATGGGAAGGGCACAGCTGTTAGACCGGGAGCTGCTGAAAAAGGGACTAACGTGAGCAAAAAAAAAAAGGGGTACCGCAAGAAATGTAATCTTGAGGCACCTCAGAAATAGGTACCGGTAGTAGATGGGAAACTGCTTGGAGAGGAGGAACCAATGCTCAGCACCCAAAGTGTGTATTCTCAAGTCGCCTAACAATGATCTATTAAACAGGAAGCTGCTGGGAGAGGAACCAAGCGTTAGCACCCAGAGAGCAGAGCGCAACGAGATTGGAGAGCGAGGACATGCCGTGCCACATGCCGAATCGGCGGTTGACAGCTGCCAGCTCCTTATTGGTCCGTGCGACCTCCCTGTTGCGCGACAGCCCCACCTCGTCCCCGATGCCCGCCTCCTTCTCTATGCGGTGCCTCTCCCGCATGATCTGTATGGCAACAGGGGAAGATAAGGCAGAAGTGAGCGCAATCATCCACCTCGCTTTCCGACGCCCGCATCCTTCTCCATGCGGTGCCGCTCCCGCATGATCTGTAGAAGAAGACGACGGGTGAAGGCAAGGGCAGAAATGAGGGTGATAAAACAACATACTGGTCAAACTAGGTTGCCCTTCACCTCGTCCGCAATGCCTCTATGTGGTGCCTCTCCCGCAAATAATATGTGGTGCATCATCTAGAATAAATATATCTAAACCGCGTTTTGAGTCGACTCAAAACATCATCTACCATAACTATGTCAAAAGTACACCTCTTTCTGACTTCTAAAAATTCTCGTAAGTGACACAAGCACTACCTTTCCACCGACTCACCTTGGTGGTGATGGGCTCGAACAACAGCAGATTCAGCAGCGCAGCCCCAAGGGCAGCTAGCAGCAACAGCAGCTGCACCTGCTGCAAGCCCCCTGCCCCGGAAGCACCAGCTTCAGCAGCAGCGGTAGGGTTGAGTGTGAGCTTGAGAGCGAGGGCGGAGAGGGCGGAGCAGAGAACCACGAGGCGGAAGTAGGCCGGGAAGAGACGACCCTGAATGCTGCCGAAGGTGTGGCGGGGGAGGTGGCTGTGTGGGTATGCGGGGGAAGTGTGGGGAACGAGGGGAAAAGGAAGGGGGAGTTGGGAGGGGAGGGAAAGAAGGCAGCGGGAAACAAGGTGAGGGGAAGAGACAGCAGTGAATGCTTCAGCAGCAGTTTCACTACCAGCAGCAGGGTTGAGTGTGAGCTTGAGAGCGAGGGCGGAGAGAGCAACGTAGGCCGGGAAGAGACGACCCTGGATGCTGCCGAAGGTGTGGCGGGGCAGGTGGGTGTGTGGGCGAAGGGGGGGCAAGGGGGCGTTGGAAAGAAGGGAGTGGGGCGGAGGTGAGGGAAGAGAGGGAAGAGACGGCCCTGGATGCTGCCGAAGCTGTGGCGGGGCAGGTGGCTGTGTGGAGGTGGCTGTGTGGGGTGTGGGAGAGGGGGGGAACAAGGAAAGGAAGGAGGGGGGAAGGTGGGGTTGGAAAGAGGGCAGAAGAAGAAGGCCAAGAAGAGATGAACCCGGATACTGCTGAAGGTGTGGCAGGGCAGGTGGCTGTGTGGGCGAGAGGGGGAAAAGGGAGGAAGGGGGGGAAAAAGGGAGGAATGGGGGGGAAGAGGGAGGTGGAAAGGAGGGAGTGGGGCAGAGGTGACGGGGAAGAGGCAGCCATGGGTGCTGCTGAAAGTGTGGCGGGGCAGACGGCTGCGGGGGCGAGGAGGGGGGAATGGGGGAAGCGGGTGGGGGGGAGGGGAGGGAGGTAAGGGAGGGAGGACACGGGATGAAAGAGAGCGACAAGGCGGAAGTAGACTGGAAAGAGACGGCCTTGGATGCTGCTGAGGTTGCGTCCGGGCAGATGGCTGCGAGAGGGGTGTGGGAGAGGGGTGTGGGAGAGGGAAAGAACGACGGTAAAAGGAAGGGGGTTTGGGAGGCGACGGGAAGAGGGCAGTGGAAAACAAGGTGAGGGGAAGAGACGGCCCTGGATGCTGCCAAATGTGTGGCTGGGGAGGCGGCTGCGTGGGCGAGAGGGGGAAAAGAAGAGTGTGCGGGTGGAAACAGAGGAGAGGAGGATAGGAGGACAGGGAGGCTAAGTGAGGGGCAGAGACGGCCTTGGATGCTGCCAAATGTGTCCCTAATCTCTCATCTTCCATCTCTTACCTCTCATCTCTCCTCACAATCACGTCTCATCTCAAGACCTACCTCTCATCTCTCTTGCAGCTAAATTCACAAATCACCACTCACATTTCCCATCTCTCATCTCACTGGAACATGATGACGCCAGCAAAGAAGGTGACCCACACGGACGCCCCCAGTGATGACCGTGAATGTCCGGCCCACCTGCCATCTCTCCTCACTCCTCCCATCTCACCGGAACATGATGACGCCAGCAAAGAAGGTGACCCACACAGACGCCCCCAGCGCTATGGAGCAGCACAGCACGTGCACAAACCGCAGCGCTGCCCCCGCTGTGGGCGAGAGAAAGGGAGCACCCGTGGGGCTGGCACGACCATAGGGTAGCTGGAGGGGGAAGTGGGAAGATGGGAGGGATGGAAGACGGATAGAGCATCAGACGCACGAGCAGCACAGCATGTGCACGAATCGCAGTGCTGCCCCTGTTGTGGGCGACTGGACGGGAGCACCCGTGGGGCTGGCACGGCCGTATGGAAGCTGCACGTGGGGACAAGGGGGGAGAAGGAAGAAGAAGTGAGGGAACGCGTCTGCGCCGCAAAGCAGCACAGCACGTGCACGAATCGCAGTGCTGCCCCTGTTGTGGGCGACTGGACGGGAGCACCCGTGGGGCTGGCACGGCCGTATGGAAGCTGCACGTGGGGACAAGGGGGGAGAAGGAAGAAGAAGTGAGGGAACGCGTCTGCGCCGCAAAGCAGCACAGCACGTGCACGAATCGCAGCGCTGCCCCTGCTGGGGGCGACGGGAAGGGAGCACCCGTGGGGCTGGCATGGGCGTATGGAAGCTGGAGGGAAGTAACACGACGGGGGAAAGAAGGGTTGCGGGAGAAGAGAGCATCAGAGCCGCGGAGCAGCACAGCCCGTGCACAAATCGCAGCGCTTCCGGCCCCCCGGGCCAAATGAAGGGGCTGACCGTGGGCCTGGCACGACCATATGGCAGCTGGAGGAGGGACGGGAAGGAGGGAAGGAGGAAGAAGAGAGCACATCAGAGCCGCGGAGCAGCACAGCACGTGGGCGAAGCACAGAGGATGAGGGAGCTTACAGCTGTGAGCCCGTGGGACGGTACGACTTTTGAATCGACTCAATGTCACACGGATGATTTTTTTTTTTTTTTGAGTCGACTCAGAAGAGAGCATCAAAGCCGCGGAGCAGCACAGAGGATGAGGGAGCTTACAGCTGGAGGGATGGAGAAGAAGCTGGAGGAGGGAGAAGAAGGAGGGATGGAGGGAGGAAGGAAGGGAGCATCAGCGCTACGGAGCCGCACAGCACGTGGGCGAAGCGCAGCACGTGGGCGAAGCGCAGCGCTGCCCCTGACATGGGGCGTGGGGGCGATCTTTGAGCGGCGGACTCTGAAAACGATAAGGGAGCCGCGAGAGAGAGACGCGTACCATGGCGTCGGGAGTGAGAACGGCCGCCGCGGCGACGGCGACGATGAGCACGATGAGCGACGTGTACCACCCCATGGCGACGCGTGCGACGCGTGCGACGGGTGTCGCTTGACTTTACTCGAAGACCAGACGAAGACGATGACGAGGCGGGTAGCCCTCCAGGCGCTCAAGAATCCAACGGATGGTAGATCCAGATGCGGGTTGACTTTTGAGTCGACTCAAAAGTCAACTCGGATGGTAGATCCAGATGCGGCAATCACGCCAAGTTTCGCGAGGTAACTAAACCAGGAGAGCAGCGAAAGGAGGAGAGCGGGAAAGGGGCAGGGACAGGGAGAAATATCAAGACTCGAAACAGAGGCAAAATGGGAGGTAAAGACAGGGCAAGGAATTTGGTTGCTTTGCTAGAAATTGGTGGTTCATCGATTAGATCAATGACACTAGGTGTGGTGAGGTGGTGTCCGTTTCAGAATGATCCTTACGCGTTCGTTACAAAGCCGTGTTAGGAGGTCCCATGGCGAAACAAAGCCTTCTGAGGTGCGAGATTTGGCCTCGGGGCGACCGCCGTGCGCATGGCGATGGCGACAACGGTTTCGCGACGACACGAATTGTAACCGCATGTTTTAATTTGGTCAATGCTGGACTTTCGTTTGGGCTGGTGTTGCATTTCGCATTCGACTTTTACAGACGCTAGGTGGTGTACATCTACACTCAAGTAGCGCAATATTTCAATTTCCCGTTTCTTCCAAACGAGGATGTCCATGACTGGTCTAGGCCCAAGCCACGACTCCGCTGCCTCCGTTCCACGTCAGCATTGAGAGTCGCGTCCAATCTGACACGTCGCAGACCGCAATTAAAGCCACTTACAAGCCAGGCCAGGCCAGTCAACCCCCAAGTCCGTTAGCTAGCGTCACCCTGACTTGCCCAAGCCGATCAGACTCGTGATTGGCGAATTGCCAAAGGCGGTGTGCGTAGGACGCGCCTAGCGCAGCAATAGTCCATCGTATCCTTTTAACTCTTAAGCATCCGTCGCGTCGCGCTCGTCGGTCGATGCGCGTATCATCGCCGCTCCTCAGGGCTCTTGCATCGCCGCATAGCCCCTTTGCCTCCACAATCAAATCTTCCGCGCCATTTCTCCGCCGCTCCGCGCCCTTTCTCCGCCCTTCCGCCGCGTCCGCCGTTGCCGCCTTCCTCGGCATTCTGCCGGCTCGCGCCGCAGCCAATCTTGCAAAAACCGCCGCAACCTGCGCAGCATCCGCCGCAACGCCCGCCACAATGATTATTTCGTCTTCACGAGCCGCTCTCTCCGCCTCTCTCAATCACTCCTCATTCCCTTCCATCCACCATCACGAAGCTTCCTCGAAGTCATCTGCCGCGGTCTCACGGTTATCGTCACCCTTCACCCCACCGCTCCGCACCCCTCATTACCTCTCTAGCTCTACCCACTACCGCCCTATCGCTCTCTCCTCGCGGCTCGGCGGGATCTGGTCTACGGCGCGCCTAGTACCGAGGCGCGCAAGGGCGGCGCGATGCGGCGCGACGGGCGGGGAGGAGCAAGGCGGCGCTTGCGAGCGGTTCGTGGTGACGACGCCGCTGTACTATGTGAACGCGGCGCCGCACATGGGATCCGCTTACCCCACCATCGCGGCGGATGCACTAGCGCGGTTCCAGGTGAGGTACAGCCGCTGATGCGCCACCGCCGCACATGGGATTCGCTTACCCCACTATAGCCGCCGACGCACTCGCGCGATTCCACGTGTGATGAGAGAAACAGGTGATTGTTCGTGGTTTCTTGGGTACGGTGCAATGCGGTGCAATGCGGTGCTATGGGATGGGAGAGAGTGGGGCTGCACATAAGGTCCTTTTATCTCACTACAGCCGCCGGCGCACTGGCGCGGTTTCAGGTGTGATAAGCCGCCAGTGCGCACCTGCAGTTAGGTACGCACCTCGCACCATGGAACCGCGCTAGGGCGGAGGAGTTAGGTACGCACGGGGAAGGGGAGGGACGAGGCCATATCATTTTCCCTGCACGTGAGAGTGTCATATCCAACTTCTACGCTGCACCATTTTCCCTCCCCATCCCCCGTGGCAGTGTCTGCGGGAGGGTTGTTAGGCAGGAAGGTGACGTTCGTCATTGGCACGCACGAGCCTGCAGGGAGAAGATCACTCTGGCATTGCACACCTTACACACCTTGCCCCTCTCTCTCTTCTTCCCCCCATCCCCCACCCCTGCTACAGCCCTTGCAAGGAGGTTACATTTGTGATCACTCTGGCACAATCTGTCACACGTGGTGGACCCACTCTGACCCACTTTGACCCACTATGACCCATTTTCACCCACTTTGACCCACTATGACCCATTTTCACCCACTTTGACCCACTAAAACCCATTTTCACCCACTTTGACCCACCCACGTTGCTTGACCCACTGTCGCAACACTCCAATCCGCTCCCGCAAGGCAGGGATGTGACATTTGCGGCGGGCACGGGTGAGCACGGGGAGAAGATCGATTGCACTGGCATGTTCAAACCCACGTTGACCCGCGTTGACCCACATTGACCCATTTCCCTCGGTCCCCACCCCTCTGCTTCAGCGGCTGCAAGGCAAGGAGGTGACATGTGTGACGGGCACGGTCGAGCACGGTGAGAATCGCCTTGGAGCTTCACACGTTGACCTCTGTTGACCCTTTCTCCCTCTTCATTCCCCCCAACCCTGTTCATCGCAGCGCCTACAAGGCAGGGAGGAGACATTTGTGAGGGGCACGGCCGAGCACGAGGAGAAAATTCGCCCTGGCAGTGGCACATTCATCCACATACTATGGCCCATTCTCCCTCCTTCCCTTCGCCGCCCCCCGCTCTCGTGGCAGCGCCTGCAAGGCAAGGAGGTGACGTTTGTGACGGGCGAGGATGAGCACGGGGAGAAGATTGCCATGGCGCTTCACACGTTGACCTATGTTGACCCTTTCTCCATCTTCATTCACCCCAACACCAACTTCTCACTGCAGCGCCTCCCAAGGCAAGGAGGTGACGTTTGTGACGAGCACGGACGAACACGGAGAGAAGATCGCCCTGGCGGGTTCTGACCTACTTTGACCCACATTGACCCACTCCTCACCCCTGCTACAGCGCCTGCAAGGCAAGGAGGTTACATTCGTCACGGGCACGGACGAGCATGGGGAGAAGATCGCCCTGGCAGCGGCTAAGAATGGGCGCACCCCGCAGGAGCACTGCGACGCCGTGGCTGAGGGGTACAAGCAGCTGTGGCGCAAGGTGGGAACCGGTTGAACAAGGTGGGGAGCGTTGGAACAAGGTGGAAAGAGGTGGTGGAATTTGTGGGGGACTGGGTAGATGCTGATGGGGAGAAGATCGCCCTGGCGGCGGCAATGCATGGGCGCACGCACTCCGCAGCAGCACTGCGATGCTGTTACTTACAAGTACAGACATCTTTTGAGTCGACTCAAAAGTCGGCTAAGAATGGGCATGGCATTGCGTAGGATCGTTCCATCCGCCAGGAGGCAGTAATGCGGTAGTAAGCGGTGACAGTTTTCATGATCGTTCAGTTTTAGGGTGACAGCTTCATTCATTCCCATGTATGCTATGCCTCTCATCCCCCCATCTCTTCCCCTTCACCCTCCTGTCCAGCTGGGCAGTGGTGCTATAGCCTATAATCGATTCATCCACTGCAGCACCTCACCCCGCCACGAAGCAGTGGTGCGGCAGTTGGTTAAGCCATAGGGGTAGCCGTTTCATTTCCACGTACCGTGTATGCACCGCATTCATTCCCTTCTCTCCCATGCTTCCCTTCCCCCCTTCAGCTGGACATTGCCTATGATCGATTCATCCGCACCACCTCGCCCCGCCACGAGGCAGTGATGCGGCAGTTCTTTCAGCCATGGGCCGGCACTCTCCTTCCCACGCATGTACCTCATCTCCCCATCTCCTCCCCTTCCACCCCTCTCCACCCCTCTCCACCACTCCAGCTGGACATTGCCTATGATCGATTCATCCGCACCACCTCGCCCCGCCACGAGGCAGTGGTGCGGCAGTTCTACGATCGAGTCAAGGCGAAGGGGGATGTGTACCGGGCTCAGTATGAGGGGCGCTACTGCATTGCCTGTGAGGAGTATAAGGTGAGATCAGGGAGCTCATTGTAATGAGTACAATAAGCGAGTTGATGAGAGGAGAAGTATCGATTTGACCTAGATCCAACAGACCAATCCCCTCCTAATCCTCGCTATTTTGTAGGTGCTTAGGCTAGGCAGGGATCAAGTAAACAAGGAATATTATCCCCAACAGAGCGTAAGCGTTTCCGGCATGACGGCTTGCAAGCACTGCAGCAAAACCAACCTCTTCTTTACGGTCTCTTTCCCTCCATGCTCTTAACATCCTAGAAGGACAAGAAGGAGCTAAGGGCTTTGCGAAACCCTAGAAGGACACGCCCTCCGTGTCAGGACAAGAAGGAGCTAGTAGATGGCACCACGTGCCCCACACGCACGCACCTCACCCCATTGCGAGTACTGCAGCGAGGACAACCCCTTCTTTGCCTCCCTCTTGCCTCCTCCAACCAACACCCCTCCCTGGCAGGACGAGAAGGAGCTTGTGGATGGTACCACGTGCCCCGCTCACCTGACGCCTTGTGAGCACTGCCGCAGCGAGGATCACCTTTTATTTGCGCTCTCTTTACCCTCCCTCTTCTTCCAAATATGCTGCCAAACACCCCTCCCTACCAGGACGAGAAGGAGCTAGTGGATGGCACCACGTCTCCCACCCATCTCACGCCCTGCGAGCATTGCAGTGAGGACAACCTCTTGTTTGCACTCTTCTCTCCTTCCCTTCTCTGCTTTGACATGCTTCCCTGCCAGGACGAGAAGGAGCTAGTGGATGGCACCACGTGCCCCGCGCACTTAATCCCCTGCGAGCATCGCAGCGAGGACAACCTCTTCTTTGCTCTCTCCTCTGCTACCACATGCCTTGTGAAACCCCTCCTCACCAGGACGAGAAGGAGTTGGTAGATGGTACCACGTGTCCCACCCATCTCACACCCTGCGAGCACCGCAGCGAGGACAACCTCTTCTTTGCGCTCTCCTCACACCAACACGATTTGGAGCAGCTGTTTCAGGACAGGCCTGACTTTGTGCAGCCGAGCTTCAGAAAGAACGAGGTGAGTGGGGAGATTGAGGAAGTTTTCCTCCGGGGATCTCTTTAAAAGCCCCCAAAAAAAAAAAAAAAAAAAAAAAAGGGGGGGGGGGGTGAGGGGGGGGGTAGTTAACCCGGTGAAGAACCAACCTCTTCTTTGCGCTCTCCTCACACCAACACGACCTGGAGAAGATGTTCCAAGACAGGCCTGACTTCGTGCAGCCCAGCTTCAGAACGAACGAGGTGAGTGAGAGGTCATGGTAAAGAGGGAGGAGGTGACTTTTGAGTCGACCCAGAGGACAGCCTCTTCTTTGCGCTCTCCTCGCACCAGCATGACCTGGAGCAGCTGTTTCAGGACCGACCTGCCTTCGTGGGACCGAGCTTCAGAAAGAACAAGGTGCGTGACCTGGCAGGAGACAGAGGGGAGTGACTTGTGAGGCAACCAAGAGGGCAGCCTCTTCTTTTCTCTCTCCTCACACCAACAATTCTTGGCGCAGCTCTTTCAGGACCGACCTGCCTCGTGCAACCGAGCTTCAACAGCATACGCACGCATGGCTACCTTGTGTTCTAAAATTGCCTCAATTTTCCCCTCCCTTCTCGGCCAATCAGGTGCTGGCGTGGGTGGCGGAGGGAGCGAGGGATTTCAGCATCAGCCGAGCGGCAGTGGCATGGGGCATTCCCGTTCCGGACGTGCCAGAGCAGACCATCTACGTGTGGTTCGACGCTCTTCTGGGGTGAGTCTGCTCTAAGGTGAGTCTGCTCCAGGCTCTTCATCAGCAGGGCAGCAGTGGCGTGGGGCATCCCTGTTCCAGACGTGCCAGAGCAGACCATCTACGTGTGGTTCGACGCCTTGCTAGGGTGAGTCTGCGTTGATGTGCTCTAGGGCTGACTTTTAAGTCGACTCAAAAGTCTGCATCAGCCAGGCTGCAGTGGCATGGGGCATTCCCGTGCCGGACGTGCCGGAGCAGACCATCTACGTGTGGTTCGATGCGCTGCTAGGGTGAGTTGGGTTTCGAGGCGCCTCAGAAGTCGTCACTTGTCAGCAGTGGCATGGGGCATCCCTGTGCCGGATGTCCCAGAGCAGACCATCTACGTGTGGTTCGACGCTCTTCTAGGGTGAGCTTGCTTTGGTTTTGAGGCGCCTTTATAGCTGTTGCTTGTCAGCAGTGGCGTGGGGCATCCCCGTCCCAGAGCTAACCATCTACGTGTGGTTCGATGCTCTGCTAGGGTGAGTCTCTGTCTGGCTCTGCCTGTCAGTTTTCCTGTGCCACTCTGCTAATGCTCCTCTGCTGCGGCAGTGGCGTGGGGCATTTCCATCCCATGCCGTGCCGGATATCCCAGAGCAAACCGCCTACGTGTAATTCGACGCTCTGAGTGACTTTTGAGTTGACTCAAAAGTCATTCCCATCCCATGCCATGCCGGATGTCCCTGAGCAAACCGACTGCGTGTGGTTCGACGCTCTTCTAGGGTGAGTCGAGACTCTTCTAGGGGGAGCCTGCTGATTACTGCCTGAGTGGCAGAGGGGGCAGGGGACCTCAGTATCAGGTACATGTCAGCGCTGCAGGAGGAGGGCGATGAGCAAAGCCTAGACACAGCAGTGCAATGCAACACACATACCATGCGTCGTCCCACCACCCCGGCCCCCTTTCTTTCCCCTCCACCCTCCACCCTCCACCCTCCACCCTCCACCCTCCACCCTCCACCCTCCACCCTCCACCCTCCACCCTCCACCCTCCACCCTCCACCCTCCACCCTCCACCCTCCACCCTCCACCCTCCACCCTCCACCCTCCACCCTCCACCCTCCACCCTCCACCCTCCACCCTCCACCCTCCACCCTCCACCCCTCCACCCTCCACCCCTCCACCCTCCACCCCTCCACCCTCCACCCCTCCACCCTTCACGCCCCACTCTACACCCACCACCACACCGCAGGTACATCTCAGCGCTGTTGGAGGAGGGTGACGAGCCGAGCCTGGACACGGCAGTGCAGCACTCTTATGCATCACATGAGTGAGTCGTCCCTTCCTCAACCCCCTCTTGCCCTTTCCTCCCCTTGCTGCATGCTCCTCACACCGCAGGTACATCTCAGCGCTGTTGGAGGAGGGCGACGAGCCAAGCCTGGACACGGCAGTCTCCAGGGGGTGGCCCGCATCCGTGCACATCATTGGCAAGGTGGGTGTATGGTGCGGTTGTGAGCGGTGGAATGTGGTGTGAGGTGTGAGTGTGAATCATTGGCAATTTGACGGAGAGGGTAGGGTGGGTTGTGGTCGTGAGGGGTGGAGTGGGATGTTGATGCACTTTGAAGGAGGCCGATGATCCTAGCCTGGACACGGCAGTCTCGAGAGGATGGCTTGCCTCTGTGCACATCATTTGCAAGGTGGGTGTGGTGCGGTTGAGAGTGGTGCTGTGGAATGTCATTGGAGCCAAGCCTAGACACGCCAGTCTCGAGAGGGTGACCCACGTCCATACACATCATTGGCAAGGTGGGGTGTGGGTGGGTTTTGGTTGTGAGAGGCGACGTGTGAACATGGATTTTTCAAGGGTCGACATGTAACGCAGGGATTGCAACTGTAGTAGAGGGAATAGCCACGTGTAGAGAGGGTGTTTTTGAGACGTCTCAAAAACACCCTCTCTACACGTGGATTTTGCAAGGGTCGACATGTAATGGAGGAATTGCCTCTGTAGTAGAGGGAATGCGTGCAGTCTACCCATGCGGAGACTTTTGAGGCGCCTCAAAAGTTGTACCCATGCGGCGCTGGACATGTCTTCTTGCCCATTATAAGCCAGTTTGACCTCCTCATTTTCCCCTCCCATTCTTCCCTCTTCTCCTCTTCGTCTTCCTCTCCTCCTCTTCATCTTCCTCTCCTCCCTCCTCTCCCCCTACTCCCCCTCTTTCAGGATATTCTACGTTTCCATGCAGTCTACTGGCCAGCCATGCTCATGTCTGCCAGTTCTTCCGACTCCCCTACCCCTGTCCTCATTCACCTTTCCAATTGCTGGGCCCCCTCCCCCTCCCTCCTCTCATCACAGGACATTCTGCGATTCCACGCAGTCTACTGGCCAGCCATGCTCATGTCTGCTGGCCTGCCGACCCCCACCACTGTCTTTGGCCACGGCTTCCTCACCAAGGTACCCACTTCGTGTTTAGGCACTTCAAAGATCGCCTTAAATCTCGTCTCGTTTCCCCGGCCTGCCAACCCACCCACACCATGGTCTTTGGCCATGGCTTCCTCACCAAGGTACACCCTCTTTCTCGCTGCACTGACCCGCGCGTTACTGGCTAGCAGATCTTGTCTTATTCGGATTGGCTAAATAAACCGTATTGAATCACAAACAAACCGCTCTAGACCGTGATATTTCACTCCAAACGTCAGTATAGTGGACGTCAGTTTAGCGAGAAACAGGGTGTATCCACTTTGTGTTAGGGCACTTCAAAGATCCTCTCAAAGCTCGTCTTGTTTCCCCAGCCTGCCCAACCCCCACCACTGTCCTTGGCCACGGCTTCCTCACCAAGGCAAGTTAAATCATTTACACCAACGCAAGTTCTGCCACCTCAAAGCTCGTCCTGCCAACCCCTTATTCTCCTCCCTTATTCTCCTCCCTTATTCTCCTCCCTTGTTCTCCTCCCTTATTCTCCTCCCTTGTTCTCTCCTCTCCTCCCTTGTTCTCTCCTCTCCTCCATTGTTCTCTCCCATCCCACTCGTAACCACCACAGGACGGCCACAAGATGGGCAAGTCCCTTGGGAATACCATCGACCCTGACGAGCTGGTAACAACGTTTGGTGCCGATGCCGTGCGATACGTCTTCCTGCGGGAGATTGAATTCGGCAGCGATGGGGACTTCTCTAAAGAGCGATTCATTAACATTGTCAATGCCAACCTCGCAAACACCATTGGTGAGTAGGTGGGTGGGTGGGGTTGGGGAGAGGGGGGGACTTGGATCGATTTCGGCAGCGATAGGGACTTCTCCAAAGTACGATTCGTAAACATTGTTAATGCCAACCTTGCAAATTCCATTGGTGGGTGGTTGGGTTGGGGGAGAAGGAGAGGAGAGGGGAGTAGGAAGAAGGAAATAGGAAAGGGGAAAGCTCCTTTTCTTTGTAAGAGCTTCTCCATCCTCCACTCACTCACTCACTCACTCACTCACTCACTCAACCCCTCTCTTTCAAATGGTCCTTCATTAAAGGTGCTTTATTATATGGTCCTTCATTGATACAGGCTGGAGTAGTACAGTGTGGTTGTTACATTTGTGGACAGAGATCCATGAGGTAAGCTACCCCCCGAACCCTTCTCTCTTTCCCTCTCTCACCCCACTATCCCCACAGGCAACCTGGTGAACCGCACGCTGGGTCTGCTCAAGAAGAACTGCAGCAGCACTCTCAGCGTTGACTCAATACCTCCTGCTTCCCTACCTCTCCCCTAACTTTTGAGTCGACTCAAAAGTCACTCTCAGCGTTGACTCAATACCTCCTGCTTCCCTACCTCTCCCCTAACTTTTGAGTCGACTCAAAAGTCACTCTCAGCGTTGACTCAATACCTCCTGCTTCCCTACCTCTCCCCTAACTTTTGAGTCGACTCAAAAGTCACTCTCAGCGTTGACTCAATACCTCCTGCTTCCCTACCTCTCCCCTAACTTTTGAGTCGACTCAAAAGTCACTCTCAGCGTTGACTCAATACCTCCTGCTTCCCTACCTCTCCCCTAACTTTTGAGTCGACTCAAAAGTCACTCTCAGCGTTGACTCAATACCTCCTGCTTCCCTACCTCTCCCCTAACTTTTGAGTCGACTCAAAAGTCACTCTCAGCGTTGACTCAATACCTCCTGCTTCCCTACCTCTCCCCTAACTTTTGAGTCGACTCAAAAGTCACTCTCAGCGTTGACTCAATACCTCCTGCTTCCCTACCTCTCCCCTATCCGCTGAGCCCATATGTCCCCCAACTCTCTCACCCCTCAGGCAACCTGGTAAACCGCACGTTGGGTCTGCTCAAGAAGAACTGCAGCAGCACCCTGAGCATCGACTCCGCTGCCCTGCCCCTCGACCACCCTCTCCGCACCACCACTGCTGCATCTGTCAGTAAACAATTTTTCACATGCCTAAAATTGCTGCTGCTCTGCCTCTCGACCATCCTCTCCGCACCACCACTGCGGCATCCGTCAGTATCCCTCCCTCTCTTGCTCTCTCAATGCCGCAATAGTCCCTTGCGTTTCACTCGCTTTCTTGCTTAATCCTGTGTGAAAACGTTCACTCAGATCTCCTCTCACTCACTTTCCCTTCACTTTCCCTCTTTTCTCTCATTTTTATGCTTACTTTCCTGACTTCCTTTCTCATTTTCCGCTCTCGTTTCTTTACCCTTGCTCAATCTAGCCTCGAAATACCCCTGTCTTCCGGTCAACCATTTAGCCTACTCACTAATTGCTAAATTGCTTATGTACCATTTTTTCAAGCCCCTGTCACCTCCTGTGTCACCCACCTGTCACCCCCCCTGTCACCATTGCCTCCTCCTCCCTGCACTTCCCTAATCCTTCCTCCTTCTGAAGGCATATGTGTGGCGATTCTTGCAGCATCCTTCTCACCACCGCTTCCTAACACCCCTCCCTCCAAAGTGCAGCAGCGTGCTATGCTGCGCTGGGACTTCAGAGGAGTGTGTGAGGCGATTCTGACACCAGCTTTCTTAACACGCTTTCTGTCCCTTCCCCCCTGTTTCTATCCCTATCAACCCCCACTGCCCCCATCATCCCCATTACCCCCACCATTCCCCTGTGTCCCTTCCTCCCTCCCCACAGATGGAAACAGCAGCAGCGTGCTATGCTGCTCTAGACTTCAGTGGCGCATGTGAGGCGATTCTGGCGCCAGCAGCAGCAGGGAATGGGTTTTTGGAGGAAAGAGCACCGTGGAGCAAGTTCAAGAAGGGAGGGGCAGATGCGGAAGAGGCAGCTGCGGTGAGTGGGCTAATGAGAGTGGTGTGATGCGGTTGTGAGTGGTGCGCTGCGGTTCATTGAGGTGTGAGGCGATTTTGGTGCCATCAGCAGCAGGGAGTGGGTTTTTGGAGGAGAGGGCGCCATGGAGCAAGTTCGAACGGGGCGGGGCAGACGCAGAAGAGGCGGCTGCGTGGGTGATTGAATGAGAGGTAGTCTGATACGACATGCTGCTGTGGTGTGTTGTGGTGCAGTGTGGTATGGGGTGTCTCTGATGCGTGGCCTTGGCACTCTCCCATCAACCCCCACTCTCTCTCGCTCCCGTCCCCTCCTCACTTCATCAGGACCTGGTGGCAGTGTTGGAGACGGCTCGCTGTGTGGCCGTGGCTCTCGCCCCCATCACCCCTGTTCTTCAGAATGTGCCGTCTCCGTTGTCCCGTCTCCCTTACCCCCCACGCCTACCCTTTCCCCTTTTGAACCCCCTTTCCCCCATCAGGACCTGGTCGCAGTGTTGGAGACGGCTCGCTGTGCGGCAGTGGCTCTCTCTCCCCCATCACGCGTGTGCTTCAGAATGTGCCCTCCTTGCTGTCCCATCTCCCTTTCCCCCCACCCCTTCCCTTCCCTCCCTTTCCTTCAAAACCCCTCTTCCCATCAGGACCTGGTGGCAGTGTTGGAGACGGCTCGCTGTGTGGCAGTGGCTCTCGCCCCCATCACGCCCACGCTCTCTCAAAACATTTACTTGCAACTGGGCTTCACTGCAGAGCAGTTTTCCGCCATCCAATGGGTGCGTATCAAACCAGTGAATCTTGAGACTTCTAAATTAGCCCCACGCTCTCTCGCAGCAACTACATGCAACTGGGCTTCACTGTAGAACAGTTTTCTGCCATCCAGTGGGTGTGTACTAAACCTGCCATCGTGTGTTTTGAGACGTCTCACGCATCACCTCCATGCTCTCTCAAAACATCAAGAAACAACTGGGCTTCACTGCTGAGATTTTCTCTGCCATCCAATGGGTGGGTTTCAAGCTTCGCACCGTGAATTAAATGCGGCCAATCCTTCATTCTCCCCTATCAACCGGTCGATTGCTTTTGAGAATTCTCAAAAGCAATTTAAGCTTCACACTATGCATTGGATGTGGTCAATCCTTCATTCTCCCCTATTAACCGGTCTCTTGCCCAAAGCATTCTAATGGGTGTGTATTAATCTTCACGTCATGCATTGAAACGCTCCCTCATTCCAGTGCATGCCACACAGTGTCACAGTGGTGCTGTTATGGTATCTTTTGAGTCGACTCAAAAGTCACCTCAGTGTGTCACGGTGGCTCTGTTTTTCACATCCGTGTAGCAAAACCATTGCGTCGTTACAAGGCACCTGCGCTGCTTTTTACTGTCTCAAGTCCATGACTCTTTCTTTTCTGCAACGCCACACTGTCACACCCTCCAGCTTGCCACAAATGAAGCTGGATCTCTCCTCCCCTTTTCCCCATATGTTCCTCCCCTCCACCCACCCTCCCCCCCGTCCTCCTTACTTTTCCCCCTACTTCCCCCCCAATCCCCTTCCCTTGTTGGTTTGCAGGCTGACACGCATTGGGGTGGGCTGAAGGCAGGGCAGAAAACAGCAGAGCCAGCGCCCGTGTTCGCAAGAATAGAGCAGGAGGAGGGGGCAGAGGCAGGGGTGCAGGCTGGTGGGAAGGGCGCCAAGGGGGGGAAGGGAAAGGGGAAGGGGAATGCTGCAGCGGGGAAGAAGCAGCAGGGAAAGAAAGGGAAGGAGAAGAGTGCAGAATTTACTGAGCCGGTGGGCTCTAGTGCCAGCTGATGTGTATTGAGCGACTCAAAACACGACCCATTTCACGCGGAAATTAAAGGAGAAGAGTGCAGAATTGGCTGAGCCGGTGGTGGGCTCTAGTGCCAGCTGATGTGGTGGGAATGTGCATTGGTCTCTATGGGTGGACTAGTGAGGCTACAAGTAAGACAGCAAGTAAGAGAGCAAGACAGCAAGCAAGACCGCAAATGAGCCTGTGCATACGCAATGGGTCTGCTTATTTTAGAATGAGCTGACAATAATCAATTTGCTGCTGGTCAGTTCAATAATGGTGATGCAACACCAAAGCAATGTGAGGTGGGCTTCAGCAGCAGTGTTATCCTGGTCTAAAACTGTCCATTTTTTGAAAAACTTCTATTTTCTGCCCCTGAAGATATATTTGCAATTGACGTAGCAATAGCAAGGATTGATTGATTATATTTACGACGCTATACGCTCAAATTGACTGCACCGCTCAAGATGGAAAATTTGAGTTCCGCGAGAACAATACTTGGGTTGACTTGAACGAAAAGCATGAGGCGAGAGGTGAACCCCAGTAGAAGCATCAATTTGGTGCTGTGCGGGGGGGTCCGCACCAAGTGGTGTGGCAACAGAACAGGGCCGACGCTGTGAAGGAAACACGGGAGGAGTAGCGCGTACGTTTACACGGCTCATTCTGCGCGTGTTGCGTCGCGTGCAAGAGGGTGGAGGTTAAAAACCGCTGTGCACCGTTTCATATGCTCTTGCACCACGACGGATGAAATTCGTCGTGGAATATGCAGTAGTAAGGAACGGAATCCAAGGGGGGTCCATGCTACTGTCTAGGAAGTTTACCATCCCATCCCCACCACCTTTCAACCCCGCAAACACGCGAGCGATCATCCATGGCGGTTGATGCAGTATATCAGGCTGATGCGCAGTCGTTATTTGTAGCGGAGAAGTTGGATTTCTTTCTGCGTTCACTAAAACTCTTGTTAGATCATCCACTTGAGCCCGAAGCTTGGCGAGTTCAGGGTAAAACTAACCTCGCGGCTTTTTTTAGGTTTCGGCCATGTCCGCAGCGGATGACATTGCTCGGACGGGCTCGGGGAAGGTCGCATCGGGGGGAGCAAACGCGTCACCTTCCACGGTGCCGCTGGGATCGCAGGAAAAGCAGGCTCTATTCATCCAGAGGCGGCAAGCGCTGCTCGACCTAGTCGACTTCGTTGGTCGCGGAGAAGTGAAAGTCAACGAGGCGATTCTCAAAGGCATCACGCGCACGGTTACATTCTTCCGGCCGTTACCGCCGTCCGCGCACGCGATGTCCGGGCCTACTACGGATGCCACGTGGCCGCGCCTGATACTAATCTACGTGTACCTGGCTGGGTATGTCGCGACGCGTTACATCGACCGCAAGTTCATCTTAAAGCTGCTGAACCTGTTCGACGCGGAGGACCCGCGCGAGCGGGAGTTTTTGAAGGCTATTCTTCACCGGATTTACAAGAGGTTCAAGGTTCACCGGCCGTTTATCTGCGAAGCAATTGGCAACACAATCTACCAGTTTATTGAGTCGGAGCGGCACAACGGCATTGCGGATCTTCTGGAGGTTCTAGGGGGTATAATTAACGGATTTAAGCTGCCGCTTAAGGAGGAGTATAAGCAGTTTCTAGACCGAGTGCTGGTTCCGCTGCACAAGCCTAAGTGCGTATCGATGTACCACGAGCAGCTGTCGTACTGCATCACTCAGTTCGTGGAAAAAGACCCGAAGCTCGCGGATTTGGTGTTGCGCGGATTGCTTAAGTTCTGGCCCTTAACTAACAGCCAGAATGAGCTGCTTTTCCTGGAGGAGTTGGAGAAGGTTCTGGAGCTCACGCAGGCACCCGAGTTTCAGATGGTCATGACGCCGCTGTTCCAGCAGATCGCGCGCTGCCTCAGCTCCTCGCACTTAGAGGTACGGTGGTACGGGTGTTGTCCGGGTGTGATGCGGTTTGTGGGGATGTGATGTTATACGATGTTCGGGTTTGGGAGGGTTGTGGCGGGGTGTGGCGGGCTGTGGCGAGGTGTGAGGAGGTGCGAGAAGGTGTCATGGCATGCATTTTCATACAGAAGCCGCTGGTCATGATGGTCATGATGGTGTCTCTCAACCCACCCTCCCACCCCCCAACCCCCATTTCCCTCTCCGCCCATGCAGGTGGTTGAGCGAACACTGAGCCTGTGGGACAACGACTACATCGTGACACTCCTGGTGCATAATTCCTATGTCTCTCGCTCTCCCCTCCTCCCCCTCCCCTCTTCCCGCCCCGCAACGCAACCCTTTCCCTTGTGTCTGCAGGTGGTGGAGCGCACACTGAGCCTGTGGGACAACGACTACATCGTGACACTCGTGGTGCAGAACTAGTATGTTGCCCCCTTCACCTCCGCCATTCCCCCCCCGCCCCCCCTCACACCCCATTGCCTTGTGCATGCAGGTGGTGGAGCGCACACTGCGCCTGTGGGACAACGACTACATTGTGGCGCTCGTGGCTCAGAACCGCACCACCATCCTGCCGCTCATCTTCGCTGCTCTCGAGCGCAACGCGAGAAGATGCGACGAGGAGATTCTGGTATGATGTTGTGGGCAATGAGACCGGTGATTGCTTGGATTGCTTTAAAACTGTGGCTGTTTAGTCGCCTCAAAAGGTGGCTTCTGACTTTTGAGTCGAGGTGACTCTTGTCGACTCAGAAGTCACTCTAAGGAGGAGATCCTGGTATGATGGTGTGGGCAGTGAATTGGTGATGTGCTTGGATTGCTGTTGAACTGTGGATGTGGATGTAGCACGGAGTGCATACATCATACCCCATACATCATGAAGCACACAGGTGGCGGAGTGTGTCAGTTCCTCCTCTCCCCCTCTGCCCTCCTTCATCTTATGATGAGGGCTAGCAGCAGATTCTCCCTGCCTGACCCGATGCACGCATGCATGCTATGCTGCTCTCACTTCTCTCGTCAGGCGATTACGGTTGTGACTGGTCAAGCGAACCATTCGCTAGCTTGTTGCTCACCAAAAGCAAACCCACCATTTCAGTATTAACAGCAGTGTTCAAAACACTAAGTAAAAAATATGGCGTATGAAAAGACCCGGGTGTTATATATTTTTTTTTCCTTTGTAAAGACCCCCCCATTTTTTCTAGGGATTTAGCATAAGACCCTAGGGTCTTATATCCGGGGGAATACGGTAGAACATTCAGCACTTTTGAGGTGCTTCAAGAGTCCGCTGTTAGCACGCCATAAGTGTACATCATTTGATGCAGTCGTAGTATTCCTTAATAGTAAAGCCAATGTATTTTTTATGCCTTATGTTTAGTGCATGAGAGAGGGGGAGGCTGGGATTGGTGCCATCCATGTGTCAGAATCTAGCAGCAGGAATGGATGAACTAACAGGATGCAGGAGTACAAGTAGTAAACCCTAATTGGGTTGTACCCCATATGGGCTACCCCACTACAGCCTAGACAATATGCAGCACATATAGTTTGACACCATGCTGTCGAGAAAGCTAGGCAAAACGAGAAACAGGAAAGAGGGCTTTTCACTACCGTCATCGCCCGGATATAAGACATATATGTCTTATTGTCAAGATAGGTTGCTAGGGTTTAGTCTTAGGAGCCATGCTAGGAGGTAGAGTGTCGAGGGAGTTGGCAATGAAAGAGGACTTCACTATAGAGTCAAGGGTACAAATATGATAGGAAAGGGGGTAATCCACCAAACAGAATGTGATAACTACACTACTGCTATATCTACATGCAGTTACAGTAATATAACTCTGACATTCCCCCTTAACTGCATGCAGGAATAGCAAAGCATAAATCACAACCTGCAAGTGTACTGAAAGCATTAGCACGCAAGAGCAATGACAACCAGTGCAGCAGTGGCAGAAACAACTGCAGAAACCCCTTAGCCAATACAGAAACGAAAGAAAGGTGCATGTGGCGCAGGTCGCCTGGAGAGCGGCGTGCGGCGGCAACGAGCGGCGGCACAGCAGGCTCAACGGCAGCACCTGCTGTTAACAGAACTAGGCAAGAATGAATGCATTGAAAGAACAGTTGGGTACAAGTAGCTAACCCTAGTTGGGTTTGTACCCTGTATTGGCTACCCCACTACAGCCTACCTACATATAAATAACACATTACAACTTAACACACCCCCATAGGCAAAGTGGGGGAGAGCAAAGGGTCACAAGACCAGTCCAGCAAAGCAAAAACAAGCCCAGGGTGGATCACAACGTCACCACACTCCGAGCACAAACAAAGGCCACAAGGCCAGTTCACATGTAGTGCTAGATATAGAACAGGACAAGCAGCAAGACAAATATAAAGTACAGTACAAAGAATGTCAAGCAGTGAGCAAGTGAGGAAACGTGGACACAAGGCCTAAAGAAGTACAGTGCCGCTGATGATCACTAGGCGGGAGCGCCTTGGTGAAGATATCAGCAGTGTTGGCCTTCGAGTCCACGTACACAAGCCGAAGCTGACTGCGCTGCTGAAGCTCTCGAGCAAGAAAGTAGCGAAGAGCAATGTGCTTCGTCCTGTGCTCCAGTCTGTGCTCCTGACACAAGGCAAGAGCCGCCTTGTTGTCACCGTACAGAACTGGAGGAGAACTAGGCCGCTCTCCCAAGTCAGTCAGCAGGTAGGTGAGCCAGCGTAACTCCTGTGCAGCCATGGCTGTGGCGTAGATCTCAGCCTCACAACTAGAGCCGAGAACAGAAGAAGAGCGGGTGGACCGCCACGAGACAGAACCAGAGCCAAGGCTGAAGGTGTAACCCTGTGACGACCGCTGCGTAGCCAGGTCGTCCACCCAAGAAGCGTCCGAGTGACCAGTGAGGACAACTCTGTCGCGTCCTCCAAGCACTAGCCCCATGCCTGATGTACTGCACAAGTAACGCAGCACCCTCTTAGCAGCCTCCTAGTGCTCTCGCCTGTGTCTCCCAGGCGCAACGTAGCGAGCAAGGATGCTAAGTGGGTACGCGAGGTCAGGTCGCGTGCAAGTCATCAGGTACATGAGGCAGCCTACAAGCTCTGGGTACGGGCCACTCGGCTCTACGGACTCGTCCGAAGGTGGAGCTGAGAGCGAGTGGCTGGTAGCCAGAGGTGTGGCCTGTGGTGAGGAGAACTGGAAGCCGAAGCGCTGAAGGACCTGCTGCACCATGTGTGACTGAGTCAGGGTGATGGTGCGGCGAGCTCTGTCCCGGGTGATCTGCAAGCCAAGGTAGCTACGCAGTTCACCCAGGTCAGTGCAGGTGTGTCTCTTCTGCAGCTCCGACTTCACACGAGCGAGTGCCTCAGTGTCAGCAGTAGCAAAGACCAAGTCGTCGACGTACACGAGGATGTAGAACGGCGGCAGCGACGTGTCTGTGCGCAGAAACAGCGACGGGTCAGCAGTAGACGGCGCGAACCCAAGAGCCGCAAGTGTAGTCCTCAGTGTGTCGTGCCACTCACGTGGCGCCTGGCGGAGACCGTAGACTGGCCGGCGGAGGCTCCACTGGGTACCAGGAGGAAACGACCCAGTAAAGCCAGGTGGGCGGCGCAGCCAGATCTCCTCGTGCAGGCTGCCCTGCAGGAACGCTGTGCTGAAGTCAAGAGAGTGAAGCTCGTAGTCACGCTGAGCAGCAACGTGCAGCAGAACCCGAAGAGTGGTCATCTTCGGGGTGGGGGAGAAGGTCTGGAAGAAGTCGACCCCCTGACGCTGACTGAAGCCTCTAGCAACGTAACGAGCCTTGAAGACAGGCGGAGAACCTGGCGGCCGCTTCACCCTGAAAATCCACATGCCATCGACGATGTTCGCCCCAGGAGGGGGAACCTCGTCGACGTAGGTGCCTGTGGACTTCCAGGATGCCATCTCTGCGTCCATGGCTGTCTGCCACTGAGAGGAGTAGGGACCCGAGATCGCCTCTGCGTAAGTGCGCGGAGTGGGGATGTCTAGTGCATCCGGGTCTCCCTCAGGGGCAAGCAACCAGGCCACGAGATGAGGTACAGCAGCCGCGAGAGAGTCAAAGTCCTCCTGCCTGTCCTCAAGGACGTCCGTGCCAAGAGCACACTCACCCCCGACGGACGGAGGACAGACAGACTCAGACTCAGACTCAGCAACAGCTCCAGCACCCGCAGTCCCAGCACTCCCAGGCCCAGCACCCGCAGGCTCAGCACCCCCAGGCTCAGCACTCCCAGCAGCACCACCTGCAGCAGCACCTGAGTCACCTGTGACCTCGACAGGCTCAGCGACGGGAGGAGGGTCTACCTGAGAGACACCTGAAGGAGCAGGACCCTGAGGGGGAAGGGGGTCTACCGGAGGGGGACCAGGAGCAAGGAAAAGCGGCGGGGGAGGGAGGGGGGCAGTGCGGTAGGGGAAGAGACGGTAAAAAGGGACCGACTCGTCAAAGGTGACGTCCTGAGAGGCGAAGACCCGGCGCGAGGTGGGGTGGTAAAACTGCCAGCCCGGCGCGTCAGGGACAAAGCCAAGGAAGACACAGGGAAGCGTGCGGGAGGAGAGCTTGTCCGCGGACGTATCGCGGACAAGGGCACGAGCACCCCACACCCGGAAGCGCGACGCATCGCCAACCTCCCCCGTCCAACGCAGTGTGGGCGAGGTCTCCGGCAAGGAGGCACGGGGCCAGAGGTTGAGCTGATGCGCGGCGTACCGGACAGCAAACGGCCACAGAAAATGGGGAGCCGCCGCGTGGACCAAGGAGGTACGAGCGACCTCCATGACCAGGCCAATGCGGCGCTCAGCAACCTCATTCTGCTGTGGGGAGTCCGGAAGCGTGAAGGTCTGCTCGATGCCCTCCGCCTGACAGAAGGTCCTCAAGAGATCGGAGGAGAACTCACCACCTCTGTCAGAGTGCAGACGCAGGACAGGAAGATCCGTCCGGAAACGGCGGCGGAGCTGGAGACGAACTGTGCGGATCCAAGGGATCAGAACAGCAGGGACCTCACCCTTGGTGCGCAAGGGGAAGACCGTGGTGTAACGCGAGTAGTCGTCGACAACCAGCAAAAAGTACCGCTCACCGCCCTGGCCACGAACGCGGGCTGGGCCCCACACGTCCAGGTGGAGGGTCTGCAGAGGAGCCTCTGTCGGGGGGAACGAGGAGGAGTGAGGAGCGGCGCGCTGCCGCCCCTCGACGCAAGGAAGGCAAGGCGGCGCAGGCGAGGGAGGGAGGGGAGGGAGGGACCTGGGAAGACCAGACACAAGGCAGCGACGGTGCATGCCACGGAGGCGTGGCAAGGAGGGGTGACCCAGGCGGTGGTGCCAGAGAAGAGTCTGGTGCGACAGGGAACGACACTCACAGGCGTGGGCCACCAGACCTGACGCGGACACCTGACCGACAGCAGCAACCTGAGGAGACGCAGTGGTCAGTGTGTAGAGACTCGACCCCGGCCGACGGGTAAACGTAGCCAGGTGACGGCCGGTCCTGGAGCACGTGCAGATCGCCACACGCTGTCCTCCAGGGGTAAAGGTGTCAACCCACTGATCCTGGATGACAGCGTTGCTCACCAGGTTCGTCGAGAACGAGGGGAGGTGGAAACCCGACAACGAGCCAGACGGAACCGCCGGACAAGGGAGCACAGTGGTGGACTGGG